CGAATAGTTCGTGTTCTTTTATTGTTCTCCCTCCTTAATGTTTTTATGTCATATTCTCTCACACTCAGTAACCCCCGCCACTTGCGTCTTAGTGCCTTTAATGACTTACTTAGGGTGAAATGATTTAAAGAAAAATGAGTAGTACCGGTAACTAGAAGAGTAAATAATATAATAAAGATTTTAGCTTTCAACACTAGCATAAACAAAAGGTTAAGAAATAAATTCCCTTCAATACTAAAAAGTTCGATAAAAGTGGAGAAAGGTATTTTATGAATTTCAACCGACTAGTAACGCTAAAAATCCGATGAACGAATGCTGAATGTTTTCCATATCGAAATAGCTAATTTCACAAGTAACATAGAGGTTATTGTTACATAATAAAGCCTACAAAGTGATCCACTGTTTTTTTGGTTTTGTTTTGTTTTTTTACCTGCGCAAACTCAATGATTTTATTATACATTTCATTTTACTAATTGTTATTGTTTACACATTCGATTCTCCCATACTGTGCGTCAAACTGACGTTGCATATTTTTTAATTGTACTATAACGTGAATTTTTTACAGGGTGTGATGAACTGCGACTAAGCCTTGAAGACACGTCTCTGCGTTTCAGAACCCCAGGCGAGATTGAAAAGAGACCAACGGATACGTAACATCTATGTTTGGCATCGCTAATGGATCTGCGTAATATGAGAATATTCCCTGAGGTGTTGATACGAGGAAGGTCGATCAAGGAAATGCTTTCATGAAGATGTCTGTCGTTGGAGGGAAATTATTCTCGGAAAGAAAGAAAGAAAAAAAGAAGGCGTGACATGGTACGCCGTTGAAGTAGACCCGACGCGCCGACAGACCTTCACTTGGTAATATCAGTCGGCATTTTTCGGGTGTTATGGTGGCAATGCTATCTTTTGTCTAGTCTGCTCTCTTCAGATTGAGAACAATGGCTGACAGATTGGATCTGCCATAAATAGCAAGCTGAAACTGATCGGCTGCTTTGTTTAGTTCATGAAATGATTCAGATAACAAGATTCGTCCCCAAATATATATGAATGCATTCCAGTGTACATCTATGTATACACACGTAAATACAAACTGGCTTACGCTTGCAAACGCATATATTCATACCGACATATAGACGAGAAAGCAGAGATATATTCCTGTTAATAAACTGGTAACAAAAAGCGTAGATAGTTATGCGTATTGATATCGACAAACACAGACAGGATTCTTTGTACGATTTGAACAAAAGAGTCCTAAAAAATAAATAAAACCCATATAAAAAGCGTTGACGAGTACTAAATCGCTTCTGAGTATATACACATAGGCACGGTTATACTTATTCGCACACAGATTAGATGGCGTTTTACTTTTTCAGTTCTATTCATGCAACGACATATTGTCGTTACCACCCGTCTGCTTTGATACAAATTCGGATACAAATCAGAGATGCATACACGCTATTACAAACAAATAGTAGAAACTACATTACATGGATTTCAATGGATGGTAATGCAGAGACGCGCATGCGCACATTTATATATGCTTTTATGCATAACATAAAAAGATTTAAATATTATAAACACACTAGCGGACCGGTTTCAAGCAGATGAGACAATTTGACACTCACACACGCGCGTGCAAAATTTCGAGGACTGTTTACCTGGCCTCAATCTGAAGTTACAGTCTCTTTCTTTGAACATGTATAAAACTATCTCGAAAACTGTTCACGTCGTTTAACTTTTGGATTGCAACTATTGTGTGTATAAGCATGTAATGCGTATTTTATATAAAAATATCTGATAAACCAACAAGAATGCAGGCATTCTTCCTCGTTCCTACCATCTTTCTGATTGGTATTAACGATCTGCCCAAGGACATTTTCAGATCATTAGTAAATATTTATCTACATAATGCCACGGTGCTCCTCCAAAAATCTAGATGGTCAGAGTCAGGCAGTCTATCTCTCATATGAACGTCAAATGGGAAAAACTGGCTTGTAACATTTAATACCATCAACACCGAACTAGTAACGTTCCTCATCACCCTGCAAACTTTGAATTTTCCCCAGCCATGATGATAGTTGAACTCTCAGTAAGGTTGTGAACTTTCATTGTCTTTTGGGATTGATCCCCCCCCACCCGAAATCTCAAATGGAACATATATATATGATCCATCGCTAAAGATGCTGGTAATATGGTTAATTCCCAGTGCTTATCCAGAAAGCACCTGACACATTCTGCCATATTCTCTCTTTGAAATAGACAGATTAGACCAAAGATGAATATAACGCCTTATCGGGGAGGATAACGTTTAAAATCGTTTACGCCGCCTTGTGTTTTCAATTTTATCAGCCAATAGGAATCATACTCACAACGGTAGCTTAGCAATTCGAGATGAGCTTTCTACCCGACTCACAACGTAAGCACCCAGGGTAAATATTTATCAAGTGAGGTACAACAGCACAATATTTGATCGTCCATTAGTGATCGAAATAATAGCGTAAGCAATGGTCTTCGAAATTCGATGATAAACCGTTCCTTAATAGCAGAAACTCACCTTGCATATCTGATACACATGAAATTTAATTGGAAATATATTTAATATCTTGAACTTGCATTTCATGAGCACCGAAAAAGATGTATCATAGTAGTAACTGGTCTTGGGATCAAATCCAGGATTTTAAATGCTGAGATTCAAAGAATGTGTACTCTCACTACTTACACCTTTGGCAGAAAATAATGTTTTTATTTCCAGTCATTAATATTTAATATTTTTCAAAACTAAGTTTAATATAATATTAAGGTGCCACAATGGAATGCGAGGTATATGTAATTAGTTAATTGTAGAGACCACATTTCCGAAGTTTTATTTGGTAATTCAAGCTTTATCGTGGCCTCGAATATATATATATATATATATATATATATATATATATATATATTATTTATATAGACACAAATATTTAAGTAATGCTCTGTTTATAATAAACAGTATTAACAATATTTACTGTCCTTGAATGTCCGAGAAATTTCGTAGAAAATATGCGTCCTGTAAATACGCACATTTTCCTGTTCACAGAAAATATACGAACCTGTATCCTACACGGAATCGTCATATATCCTGACGTGCTATACAAGTTTAATAACGAAGGTCGCGTCTGGTTAGCTAAACTGGTATAATACGACAGGCTGTATCATGGTTCCGTGTAGGTACAGGCTTGATTCCTGTCAGAGGACACATATTTCTATGAAATTTCTTTGACATTCAGGCCGGTAAATGTTGTTAATACTGCTTATTATAAACATACAATTTACTTAAATATTTTTGTCTATATAAATAACGTATAACAATAAAATATATTAAAATAATTGTCAGACTCAGTCCATTTCAGAAAAAAAAATAGATATATATATATAATTACAGCTTATTCGGGCACGTATTCATGCAAGTATGTTAGAGGCAATCATACTTAAAAAAAAAATAGTCAAATCCTTTGACTATTCGGCGCAATGCATTCATATTATACGGAAAAGCGTCTCGGATTTGTAAGCTCATAGAATCGTGTTATATCTTCATTGAGAACAACAAAACATTATTTTGATTTATTTTCTATGATGTAATTATATTTTATAAACTTGGCTTTGTGTATGTGTGCATGCGTGCCAAGTGTCTTGACGAAAAGTCAGGACAGAGTGAACGGAATGAGAGGGGGAAAACGGAAACTAAAAGAATGGAGTCTATTTTATTTTCACAAGAGAATGTGTGGATGCGCGCAATTTGTGCTAAAAAAAATAACAAAACTTAAACTCTTCAGTTCACGCAAGCTTGCCTTCATGTATCTAATTATATCATTTATAGAGAAATATTTCTAAAATAACATCACGAATCAATTCCGTATGTAGCTAATATCATAACATTTAGGTTAAATATTTTTAAAATGCAAGATCTCTTCGTTCTGGGGCAATGCTTAGAGTACTCGTGATACATAACATTATTAGCGAAGTGAATCCGATCCTTAGTGGTTAAAACAGTTGCATACCAGCGACAATATTCAGTATTTAAATTCGATTTTAAAAAAATCGTATGTTAATAGATGGTAGATTAAGGGGATTACCAAATGTCGCTATATGATCTTCAAATCTTATTTTGCGTAGTGCCGATCTAAGTAAAACATTAAATATCAAAAACTTGATTTTAAGCTAAACTCTAATGCAACAGCTGAACAGTGAGTTTTCTTAACAGATTCATAAATAAAATTGCTTATATGTGCTGTTGCGAAAACAGGGGTTAATTAAAATAATCACAAGATACCATCAGCACCGCCATACATGTTATAGGTCCTTCTACTTTAATGTGATTGGACTCTCCTGTAGAGGGGCACAGTCTCAGAATGCTAGGTATTGCCATTGTGGTTTCTTTGACAAGCGGGTGTGTAGTTGCCAGCCCTACGTCCAACCGGTTTTGAATTCAGTTATTCTTTCTGTTCTAAACTGGCTAGAGGGCCCAGACTGCCCTGTTATTTAATCTATAGCTGAGGGAAAAGAGATGGTTTCATACATTTTCGTCTGAAAATAAAGTCGAAGAACTCGGAATTTGAACTTGGCCCGTCATTTTCATTTTTCGCTTCAATAACCGCTACGCTACGCGTACGCCCATATATGTAATGACTGACATTTCGTAAAGTGGATACTAGATAGAATAGTATTTTCTGATTGTTTTGGGCTAGGTATTTTAGGTATCTGAAAGCGTGCCTAATTACTATCTATCTCCCCACATATCATTACGTATCGGTGATTAGATTTTTCAGGCAATGATACCGTGTAAAGAGCGACGATTTGACGATTCCGTTCACTGTATCTTTATCCTTTATGTGGTCTTGCAAATTTTAAATTGTCTCCACTTCTTTCAACTTTTATGTGCTGTATCACATAAAGACGTAGATAATCATAGCTCTCCGCTACTTCTTATCCTTTTTAGCTCTAAGTGAAATCTGGCTTAGGTCCACATCACGTTGAAACACCGGTTTCCGTATGACCATCGAAGTTAAGCAACGTCGAGCCTATTCAGTATCCTAGATGGGTGACCGCTTGGGAATTCCACGTTCAGTAATCTTGGATGTGTGTGTTGTGTAATGGATAGCCGAGTCCCAATTCCCGCAGGGGTTCGTTATATTTACTTGGGGAAAGTATGAATCCACATCTTCCCCCCCCTCCCACAGTTCTGGATTTAATTAGTAAGATTTGTTTCAGTAAAACATTATCTCCCTACCCCACAAAAAAATTCTTACAATCTAAAAAATTATTTTCTGGCTTTAAATAACCTACAAAGGGTTGATAAACCGTAGAAAATGAATCAATCAATCGATCTAAGTGAAATCTCTTACTATCCCACCCAATCCCTGTTTTGCCATCCATTTATACAAGCCTATTAAGCCGGTCCCCGATGTTTTACTCTTCCCTCTTATTATCAGTATGTATTGTGAGCGGGAAATTTTCCAATCCCTATTTCCTCGTTATATAGTTGAACCCTTTTTTTTTCCTTTTTGATTCGCAGTACAAGTTGAATACTATTACCCTATCTGGCCTAATGCTCCTCCTGTACACCACGAGATTCTTGACAAAATCCAAAAGAAAGATCTATAAATCGATCCTGACCAAGAATCTCAATTTCTCTCACTTTCTCACTGACATGGCGTGGCTTCCATCTGTCTTTTCTACAAATATTTTTATGTCAACTACTCTGTCGACCTTTTTTACACTGCTACCCCGACTACATGAATTTAAGCTTGCTACTAGATTGGCATCTAGGTCCCACCCTTTTACTACAGAAAGACTTAAATCTAACCGCCACTTCTACTCCAACAGTTTCTTTTCTCACATTCCCCACCTCTTGAACTCGTGCCGTTTACTTACTTCCCTCATAGCTACAATCTTCAAAAATGCGACCTCAATCGCCATTTTCGGTCTTTTTGAATCCCGTTCATCTTTTCTCCTCTCTTCAAGCCTCCCTATTCTCAGTCTTCTCTTTTACTTTCACTCCCTGTAACAGACTAGGCACTAGTGACAATCCCGCTTTACTTGGGGGTGAAATGATTAAAAGAATTACTCTTTTTGTTTCCATTTTCCTTAAAGATTCTTCATTTCTAACATATTCTATTCTTTGTATTCTTAGTATCCTTCTGTAGAACCACATCTTTATTGCCTTTAGTCTCCTATTCGTCTGTGACGGAATTTTGCAGCATTCTCTGTTATATAGCATTATTGATATTTCATAGCAGCTTTTGTTTTTGTTGTTTTTTTTTTTCCTATTTCTCACTAGTTTTAGTTTTTGGAAAGCCTTTTGGTTGGGCACGGTGGAGTAATGGATAACGGCTCGGAGAGCGGATTTCGAATTCAAGTCGAATCTATTACATTCACTTACGTGCTAATAACCTTGGGAAACGTATGAATCCTCTTCTTCTCCCTTTAGCTATGGGTAAATAGCAGGACAGGCCGGGTTCTATGGCCTTGGATGGCAACTGGTCTACCGCAGAAAGAAATGGCAACCTACGGCGGAAAAAAATCTGCCTCGTCAGTTATGTGTCGAAAGGGTGTTCCTAAGCGTGTATTACGCATGACACATAACTGACTGACATTTATTGTTAGAATGCGGTATTCGTATTTCGCTGCCACATTTTCTGTCATCTGTTATAACACTTCCAAGGTACTTAAATGTCTGTATATGCTCAATTTTGACGTCTTCAAATTGTACCTCGCATCTAGAAGATTCCCTCTTTCTCACGATCAAATAGTTTGTCTTAAAATTAATAGTTAGTCGATTCTTCCTGCTTTCATTTACTACCTTATCTGCGCCTGCAATAAGTAAAGTCATTTTCACATCTTACGTTGTATAAATTGTGTTCACCTATAATAAATTCTGGTTGGTTTTCGTAGGATCATTTCACTCTTTATATTGCAATGTTTCTCGACCTTTTTAAGCAATGGCCCACCTAGTAGCAAAAGAAAATATCACGGCACACTTAGCAAAATTTTTAAAGGGTATACATATAAATGTTATGAAATATAACCATACATTTTGAATCAAACAAAAAATGTTGAATGCAATTATATAAAAAAAGATAAATATTCATTTATTCAAATAAAAGAAAAATTTTAAAAGTTAAATTAAAAAAATAAAAATACTTTAAAAAAAATAAAAACAAAGTATTTAAAATAACATAATCGAAGAATAGAGAAAAGAATTACCTGAAAAAGAATAATACTTGTTCATCTATTAATATACTAATGTTATACCATTGCTACTACCATACACGTATATACATATGTATACAGAGACAATATTTCACGCCATATTAGTGTGTGTCGAGGCACGGCGGTTGAGAATCACTGTTCTGTTGAATAAATATGTTGAAAAGACGATTCCTTGACTACCAACCCTTTATGTACTTGATCAATTCGTTTAATCTGTTTGTTGGCTTGTTCTAAGTATATGTTTCGGAGTATTTAAATATATTTGCTAAATAAATGAAGTTTTCCTAGCAGTGTAAATAGATCTTTGTATCGGACTTAATGTAGTTAAATAAGTTAAGCCGAAGCGGAAGAAAATCAAACTTTTGAAATCAGATACTTTTTTTAATTTAGTTTTGCTTGGCTTCTTAATTTGTTGGCAACAATTGATAGAAAGACAGACTTTCTGTTTGTCCTTTTATTAACTTCTTTATGCGAAGATTTTTTTTCTTCGATTAATTTCAGCACAAGGGTACTTGAGACGTTTTTATGGAGGGAGGTGTCGAATTGTTTTTTGTTTTTTTTGTTTTTTTTGTTTTTCGTTTTTTTTTTATCTATCATGGCAGATTTTATGTGAGTCTGCAATATTTCGACAAATTCCATCACAGAACAGATTTATAAAGCCGTCCTTACAAATATCTCATTGCTGTCCCGATTTTACTATTTTGACTTTTTCTCCCCGCCTTCCCAAAATTTATTTCCGCTTTACAAATCGAGGCATTTCACTTCCTTTTTCCTTTCACTCTTTCTTTCTTTATATAATATTCTACTGCAATTTCTTTTTGGCTATAGCAGAATTTATTTTGTACCGAAGCAAGAGTCAAATCTTGAATATTGCGCGTGAATTTCCGATATTCTCGCGCGCTGACCTCGACAATGACAGCCAACAGTCAAACGAACGGCTGTTTCGAAAGATAGTCGATTATATTCTCGCTTCGCTGTTCACTCGGGGAATCGATTGATTTTAAAATGACGGTGACGGACGAAAGGACATAGAGGGGAAAATAAGTCGGACGCATGTGTAAGATATGGAACATCAGTATTTCGGTGGACCTCTCCCTTCTCAGTCTCGAAGTGTTGAGAGAATATGATGGATAACAAGCCAATGGCAGAATCATTGGTGTGGGTAGCTGATGGAGATCAATTGGTGGGAAATACATGAGTCTAGTTGAACGTATACTGGCCAAAAAGATCAATAAAAGATTGATGATGATAATAATGCTAAAAGTGGAACGCCGTGAGGGCAGGATTCATGAAGCGTGTAATTGAGCCAAAATATGGAATCAGAACCAGTTGTTATAGGAATAGAGGGAAAGGAAAAGTGATGAAATCTTGTGAGGTTTATGATGGGTTTAGAAAATCATATGATGACATCCCAAACGCGAACGAATTTTAGATGTATTTTTACGTGTGTGCTTTCCTTTGCATGATGTATAGGCACTTGCCTGGGTCCTCGTCACGATATGTTGCGTGACCCCGAGGGCATCAAGAACGCAGAAAACGAACTGGGTAAAAAGAAAATGAAAAGAGAAAAACAAAAGGTTGAATGAGAAAGGAAAACAGAAAAGTAAAGATACATATGGATGGAAATAGAGAAGAAATATTGACAAAGAGTAAGGGGAACTATATGAAAATGAATCCTTCCTTTTGGTCGATATTGTTACCTATTTTAAACTGGTGCTAGAGATCTACGATCAGAAACAGTTATAAACAAATAGTTCGGATGCTTATTTTCATAATCCTTCAGTTTTTTTCTCTCCAAATTTGGCTTTGTCATAAACTAAGTTTAGTAAGAGAAAGAGCCTAATACACTATGTATTTCCAGTCAGTGGCAGAAAGCAAGGCTCAAATCCAAGTAGACTGTTCGAATTTTGAGTGTCGATTATCAATGCAAGCAACCAGATCATCCACAAAAGTATGTCGGGTAATGGTTAACGAACTAGTCTGGTTAATCTTGCCAACTGTACAGAAAGTTTTATCCTCACTAGGTGTCCCGTAATTCTGGAAAATCTCCATGACAGTCAGATCCTCACATCAAAAAAATCTGCTCATTTTAATATCCAAAATTAAACAAATCAATTTCTACAGAACTGATGAATTTTTATATTTTAATCTGACATGTGTGTGTGTGTTTATGTATGTACATTCACACACATTCTCATCTTAACAAACACTAATGAGGAAATATTAGCGTGTAAATGGAGTGCGACTGCTTGTTTGCCTTGAAAATCAGCTTTTGAACTTATTGACAACGTGCAAGAGATATGCCTCTTGTATAACCTACATTGAAATAGATAAAGTTTCGTTATCATAAAAAATATAACTTTTAATAATTTTCGTTCCTGAAATAATGAAATTCTCCTGGGTATCTCCTCTTCTTCCTGTGACTAGGCACCTTCCTAAGAGACTGTTACATATTCGCTTTGCATAGCATGATACGAACGGCGTGTCTCGCCTCCAGATGCTAGCAAAATTTATCGGCATATACATTTTTCTCCTGCTTTGAGAGAATATTATTAAAGTATATGCCGTATGATTCAGTAAAATGGCAAAAGACGTGATATGTGTTTCCTTTTATCTGTCATTCAAAGCGGAAATTACATCTACAGAAATGAATTTACAATCTTGCCTACTAGTAGAGTAATATCTTTTACTGAATGGTGTGCAGGTGTAATGCGAATATGCGTGGTTTTTCTATGTACCTATTTTTTTTTTTACTACTTTGAACAGTGATTGGGTTGACAGGTAATCTCTTCACGACTTATCTATCTTACTTTGTGAGTCTTTACTAAATAATTAAGACTTTCTCTCATGTA